CCACGCGCCTGCCTGAGTGATTTTAGAGGGTATCCCCCCAGTGACATATCCGCCCTGCTCACGCCTCTCGCGCATGCCGCGCGTTGGGCTTCCTCGCACATGGCCACAGCTCACTTGTTCATATCTAGGTTGCACGCAGGTGCTCGGCACCTCGCTACCCCCGTGTAACCAACTGTCTATAAAAAAAGGCTGCTATGAGGCGCCGCTGTATCTCCCCCCGGCTGGTGGCTTCCTGGCATGCGCTCGCGGCGACACGGCCGCAGCGCCTCCTGCGGCCCGCCGAGATGTCGCGGCAGAGGTGGGCCTTGAACCTCTGGCCGGCAATGCGCGCGTGGCGCGGCGGCCGCGGGCTGCGACTTGCGTAGGCTGGAATGCGGCGCTTACGGTGTCGGGGCCGGCGCGCCGGCTGCGCGATCTTTTTTTTATGCATGTGAAGTTACACGACAGATTGATGACACCCGCGCAGGTGCGGCTGCCCAAGCCTGGCCCCGCCGGGGGACCGCACACTGGGCGCTAAACACCGCACGATGCCAAGTGAGAGCGGACATTGACCATTGATCTTCAGCGGCCGGCTTCCGGCCAGCTTCCTGCAGCGCCCCCCACGGCCTGGTTGGGTCAGCTGTGGCAGCCTGTGCCGCCATCGGATTGGGAGGTCAGCGCGGACGGCCGCTGGGTGCGGTTTATTGAGCAGCCGCACTCGCGATCGTTGTCAGTGGCGGACGACGGCAGATTGCTAGACCCTTCTGGCCGGGCGGCGCCAGCGTCGGCGTCGGTCGCGGGGGCTGCGTGGCGGGACTGCTGTGTGGCCAGGTGCCCCCCTCTTTTTTTATACATGTGAAGTTACATGAGAGGCTGACGACACCTGCGCAGATGCGGCCGCCCGAGCCCGCCCCAGCCAGACGCGGCGTCGCGTGGTGGGACCACAAGCTGGCAGCCGGAGCGAGGCCCCCAGCCCCTCAAGGACTTACGAGGAAACCCCGCCCCCGCCGGGGGGCCGTACATCGGGCGCAAGATTGTGCCGACGCGCTTGCGTGCGGCGCCCAGCAGCGGGACGAGCGGCGTGCGGTGTGGCGCCGGGCGCGAGCGCGCGCCCTTCCTCGGCGGCTGCGAGGCTTCGCCTGGATGCTGCTTCACGAGGCGCTGCCATGCGGGGGCTCCAAGGTGTCCAGGTGCCTGACCGGTGCCTGGGGCTGGCCGAGGCGGCGTGCTGCAGCAATGCGACGTGCAAGCTGCCTGCTGTGGCACCGGCGGCACCTGTGGGGCAGCGGCGGACGCGGGAGCTGACCAGTTTGGACCAGCAGCGCAGCAGCGATTGGCAATTCCAGACGCTGCTGCACGCACTCATGGAGTGCCCGGCGGTGCGGCCGGGGCTGCAGTGGCTGGCGCGGTTGTGGTCGCGCACTGGGGGCGGGCCCGCCCCTCCTCTCCCGCCCCAGG